TCCAATCTAAGGTACATCAGTTATCAGTGAAGTGCATATGGGAACTCCTGCCACTTCATCTGAATGCTATCTGTCCCCCATGTCATTTTGTACTATGTGTCTTTCTCTGACCAAAACTTTTAGGTCGAAGTTAGAGGTATGCAACCACTGTGACTATGGAAGATTAAGCTAGACCTAACTGTGTGGCCACAGCAGCGGCAGCTCTGTCAGATACTTTCTTATTAAAGAGCCTTCATAAGTGGTATGCTCAGTAATGCAAAGGAGAAGGGGGCAACAGCTTGGGTTTCATTTACCATCTGCCCTTAAAGCAGAGTAAAAGCTTCCCCTGACTGCAGAGCAGTCTGTGGAGCAGGCCTAAGAGAGAATAAGCCCAGCAATGTTCCGGGTATTGAGAAAGGAGTTTTTCTGGCTCTTAACACATTTTAATTTCTAACAATAAACCTATAAACCTTGAGAACAATATAACCCTTAACAGCTGAGTTAGAGTGAGCACTGTAGATGCACATGAAGTTTTCCAGCAGAATTTTAGTCACCTTCAGTAACGGTTGGTGTTTCCTCTCGGTTTCCATAATTGAGTCATTTTCACTTCTTGGTACTCCACAGAGGGGGAACATACCCAGGAGCATCTTAACGCTGCTGTACTCTTCCTTGCTGTTAAAACACAGTGTATGCCTGTACTTGGCACTGGTGACCCCAAACCTTGAATACTGTGTTCAGTTTTGGGCCCCTCACTACAAGAAGGACATCGAGGTGCTGGAGCGTGTCCAGAGAAGGGCAACGAAGCTGGTGAAGGGTCTAGAGAACAAGTCCTATGAGAAGCAGCTGAGGGAACTGGGGTTGTTTAGCCTGGAGAAGAGGGGGGGGAGGGGATACTTTATTGCTCTATACAACTACCTGAAAGGGAAGCACTTGAGTCCCCATCCCTGGAGGTATTTAAAAGATGGGTAGACGTGGTGCTTATGGACATGGTTTAGTGGTGGACTTGGCAGTGCTAGGTTAACGGTTGGCCGTGATGATCTTAAAGGTCTTTTCCAACCTAAATGATTCTATGATTCTGTAGGGATGGGAACTGTTTCTGGCGTGAGTTTGTTACTCAGCAGTTTCAGGAGAAAAGGAGTAGAGGAGGAGTATCTTCAGGATACACTGGGTCCCATTTGTCTTCCCCACAAAGAGAGGAGCCCTCACATGTTATGTTAAAGTCTCTAACGGGGGATTTCAGATCATCTTATGCTGTCTATGTAGTCAACAGAGGAAGAGGCAGCAGGCGGTTCAGTTCACCTATGATTTGAATTGACGTCTGGGAGGGACTTTCTTCATCAGCCTGAAAAGTGCTGATTTGAACTGTTTTATCCCTGGTAGTGGGCATGTTTTAAAGCAGTATAGCTCAGCCAGCCCAAGTCTCCCACAGGCGCCAACTGCAGCACCAACCCCTATGGGTTAACATCTGTGTGTGGCGGGAGCCTAGAGTAAAGCAGATACTGCCGGTGGGATGGATCACGGCTGGCTAGCCAAGTGCAGAGCCCAGCCTTCCTCTCTCCTGCTGGGCACCCACAGCCTGCCGTCACTCCCATGCATTCCCACCACCCAACTGCATCAAGCAACTGCGATGTGTGTTTTGACAGAGGTATAGCTATTAAGTATTTGATTTTAAACAGTGGCTTCATTTTACTTAGCCCATGGAACATGTATGTTGATGGGAGTGATCTGAGACACGTGTAAAGCTAGGACAATAACCCATAGTTTCATGTGCTGTGGCCACGTAAAAAATGCCATTGTTGTTTCGTAGATTTTTTTTCAAGTTAGCTTTCAATCAAGGTGTACTTTTTCTGTCACCTGCCCTACTGCAGCACCTTTCCCTGATGTCTGGAGCTCAGTGGAACTAAGAACTACTCCAGGTATTTCGGCATTGATGGGTTAATCTGGCCTACTGTGATAAAGTGCATTCTCATTATTTGCCACTGTCATCAACCGGTGTTTGTTTCTCTTCTTAAATAGCAAGCCGAGAAAAGAATTGAAGCACATGCTTAATTCCTGCTCGCTCTGCCAAGGATATAATTTTTGTATGTGCTCAAGCAATCCTTAGATGAACATGCTTTTGTACTTGTCTCTTGGTTTGTGTGTATATAGCTGGCTCCGTTATATTTGAAAGATGGCTCAAGTCTAAATCTAAATAAAAATCACTTGAAGTACGAGCAAAGCCAATTCCATATTACCGGACACAAACCTTTTAGGCCTCCGATGTGCTGTGCGGTACTACTTCATATCTGGCAACTGACATCCTAGTAATTGCCTGTCAATCAATGAATCCTTTAGGGTAAAACGTGAGGAATTTCACTACCTTGTAAATAAGATTGGTCTCCCTTCTGCTTCTGTTTATATTCTTCAGTATGTAGTTGATGAGTAGAGCCTGTATGAATATACTCTTCTGTGGCAGGAGGTCAGATGAAACACTGAGAAAAGACCATTTGGTTAATGCAGGTTATTTGTTCCTCACCTCCGTGAAAAAGAGAAAGTCACTTTGCAGCATTGCCGTGACCCATCAGCATGACACATGTCCTGATTGATTGGTGATGGGGGAGAGAAGACCTTCCCTTTTCATTTCTTCATGACTTACTGACTTTCTCACAGCAGAACGAGTTTGTTTCCCACCTTTACCAGAATAACATCCAATGTGTTGGTCTTTATGGCTGTGTTGGTTGTGATTAGGCCCCAGACTGCTAACGTAACAGCATTTTGAGGCCCTTTTGTAATATAGCCACTTTGCTTTAATTTTCACTTGTTCAGCATACTGGCGGATGGGGTCTGACTGAGCTCTTGCTTGTAGGTGGTGGTGGTTGGATTTGGTCACTGCTCATGTCCACATTGATACCAAAAAGAAGGATGTAGCATTTCAACTTGCTGCAAAATAACTTTGAGAATGTCAGTGATGTATTGGTGTGCAAGTCTTTCATCAGTGGGGTGTATACTCAATGCTGTGAGCCACCAGGCACAATTTTTTGTGATGCTTTCCATAATACTTTTCCCAAGTTGTGTCTTCCAAGCATAGGTTAGGAAGTCTTTTTAACTCATTGTCCATTTGACATTTTATAGTTTGAAATACTTGAGTTGTACTGATAAAAATTCCAGTACATCAGCAGTTAGATCTAGGATTATAAATAGGTAGGTAGATATGTTGATATATCTCTATCTATCTATCACAGATAGGTGCTATTTAACTTTTAGACTATAACACCTGTGAACTTCTCACAGAGTTGCAAATCATTTATTTGCTGTCATATGACAGGCATAGTGCCAGAATTCCTTTGTTTCCACATTTGAGGTGATACCACTTTTCTTATGTCTTTTGTAATGTAGAGTTAAGTACTTTTAAACTTGCAACCTTGCTATTAATCTGTTTCACTATTTCTCAATGATAAATTCCATTTCTTTTGAAAACACTGTATACAGTTGTGTGCTAGTGTCAATAAAATTGACATTTGTGTAACAAGCTGTGGCATTTTCTCAAATTTCACTGAACACTGATTTAGTGTGAAACTGTTGGTAAATCCTTTCTTGCTAGCTGTAATAATACAGACCTTTATTTCAGACAAATACTGCTTTGACTTTGATTTATAATAGGCTACATAACTGTCATGATTACGTAAACTGATAACTGTATTGTTTTTTTCCTTCTCTTTTCAAAGGAATGACATATAACCATGAACTGGTTTGGAATTGGAAAGCATTCATGTTCTAGCAATAAATCTTGAGTTCTTCCAGAAAATAAATAGGTTTTACTACTGGCCTAATTATATTTATTGGTGCCTCTGTTTACTGGAGTATCTCAGCTGTGTTGTAGCGACAGGAACACTTACCTATCATAATCTAGGGAGGACATAAACACATGATAGTAAAATGTATTTGACCTTAATTATATATGGTGATGTATGTGTTTTACATTTAATCCTAGACAGCCTATTAGCTGTGGTAATCAAGAGCTTGTCACATTTTTTTTGGTTGGATTTTAATGTATGATGCCAAAATGGTACAGACTGTAAATGTTCTTCCACATGACAGATCCATCGTCTAAAACAGGTTTAGATTTTCAGAGGTTTGGAGGAGGGGATAACTGGGAGAACACTGGGCATTTTTGGCAGACTTTCCTTTATGCAGTCAGTAGTCTGGCTGCCTCCCAGAAGACAAAATGCTCATTTCAGTAGTATTTAATGTAGTGTATATGAATCCATGGAAGTGTAATTAATTGTCTAATTCTTTAATATTTTTAATCCAGAATTAAATGGGACTTTATATCTGTGATAATCTAAAGTTGTCGTGCATTGTGCATTAAAAGTATTGCTTTTCTTATGTAAATGTAATGCTAGCATTTCCATCCCAAACAATCAGAGGAGCATGGAAAGACCTACAAGGTATAATATACATACTTGTGTTGTGTGTAGAAATTGGGGAACTAGTAGTTTTCTCCCTTCATGTTAGATCTGACTGGTCTTAGCAGCAACACTGCTGTAGAAAGTCATAGTTTCTTTTTCTCTAGACTTCCACTAGATAAATTTGTTCCAACTTGTGTCCTGTAGCTCCCTAGGAAGTACTGATTTGAGTCTTAAAAAGTTCTACTTTGACAGAAAAAATGGCACTCCTAGGGTGACTCCCTTATTGTTGTATTTATTCTGTTCCGTAGAGTGGATTACAATGGTGAAAAAATTGGTATTAATACGATGTTTAGCAGTAAATATTGCAGGTCAGTCATGTATGCCTTGATCCCTTCCCTACAGAGACATTAATTTCAGCCAGTTTCATCAGCTAAAATAATGCTCCAGTCCCTTGGTTAATGCAAGTGGATGCAGTTCCTCTGGCTTCAAGTCCATTTGGACTAGTTTGAGGACCCTGATGGCTGTGTCTTGTAGTGTTATTTCACATGCTGCAGCTTCAGGTTGTAACTCTTTCTGGTACTTTCTAGAGAGAGCCTGTCCTAACTGATTTCTCTTTTACCATTGTTTTAGCAGGTTCTCTGACTGGCAGCCCTCACCTTTCAGAGCTTTCGATCAATTCCCAAGGAGGACCATCGGTGGCAAATATGTCTTTATCTCCAAACTTGAGCCCTGATGCCAAGCAGTCATCTCCCTTGATCAGCCCTTTGCTGAATGACCCAACATGCATCAGGACTGACGATGAGGAGGAGGTCAAAAGAAAGGTACGACAGAAGCCGTTGGCCTTTGCTCTCTTCTCCATATTGTGTTGTGACTACTGCTGTTTGTCAAAGTGACTCATATCTAGACCCCCTGCAGCTTCCTCATCATAGATCCACACAGATAACTTGAGTTGGGTTACCTGGTATCTGCTGTCCTCAGTCACGGTGTGTCCAAGAGCATCCCTGTGCTCCTGAGGCCAGCCTCACAGTTTGGAGTGGGTCAGGCTGGAACCACAGAACTGCTGTAGCTGAGGGCTGAGTGCTCTGGGTTCATCCTCCTCAACAGAGGTGCAGGAGTTAGGGGCCCCAGCTCCTCTTTAAGCAGCAGGGAGACGATAGGTAGCTCTGTGTCCTTAAGGTTAACGTAGGATAAATCTAGGTCAATCCTGTTGGTTGCAACCTTAAGAGCTTGTTTTGACAGTCTCTCCTGTAAATCTAGCTTGTTTTTAAGGAGTGGAGTTTGGTAGTTTGTTGTAACAAAACAGTCAACTCCAATGTATTATTGGAGGGAGAATTTCCATGTGACAGAAGGAAAAGGAACAGCATTGAGCCTGTGCAGGAGTGTCCAACCCAGGCTCTCCAGTCTGTCTCTGCTGGGAGCACCACTGGGAGAATTTGGTTGTGGGAGCAGAAATGCTGTCTTTGAGCCACAGCCTGCAGCATTCAGCTGGGAGCGTTTGGCTCAGCCCCGTCATAGCAGCAAAGCCATAAGGGAGCATCACATCCAAAACTGCCTTTCGAAGACAGAAGTGATTCTGTCTGAGCCATGGTGTTCTGGGTGTCTGCTGGCTCGTCCCTCCTGTGCTGCAGGGCGAGAGGGGGTTGATCTTGTCCTTCTGTCGCCTGCTTTTTCTCCTGAGCTGGGAGCATCTGAGGAGAAAGAAGGTAGGAACTCAGATGGCTTTGCTGGAAAGTGGGAGCATGTGTAAGGAAGATCTTGTTTCCCACTGTGCATAGTTAGCAAGATATGTTAGAGAAATTTGAGCAGAAGAAAAGCCAAGAATCAGTTAATAGACTGATGATGCTCTGTGCCAGTCCAAGTTACAGCAGCCAGTGACTGCTATAGCTTATACCAGCTGATGTTGGTTCCTATGGGGTTGTATACTGACTAGGAAATGCCCACGCAGTCTCCCCTCGCATCCCTTTCTAGTGTATCCTCTGCATCGCTGATCTTCAGGGAAGAAATGTAGAAGCAAAAGATTTATGGATGTTTTGCTCTTCTTTTTTGCTTCCTGAGCAACACAGAGCAAGATCAATTGGGATCCTTCAGCTCTGCAGAATTAAGAGGTCAAAACCACTTTTGCCTCTTGGGTAACACAGGAGGATTTGGGTTTTTTTACCTGAAATTTGTAATCTGTAGCTTCCCCTAAAATTCTCCCCCTCTCCCACCGTTAGGTTGTCCAGCTGCACTGGGAAAATCTTACGGATTTGATATTTTTTGAGAGTATTTTTACTGTGGATACTTACCCTGGCAATGAAACTTACAATAATCAGACACTAATTTTTGTCATTTTGTTAAATGTGACATTTGTCAGATTTGATTGAAATACTTATATAGCCTGCAATGGATTTCTTTGTGAACTTCAGAATATGTCCTGCTCCAGATGTGTGGAATAAGCTGAAAGGAACATCAGCACCCCAAAGCTGTAGAAATCACCTTGGCAGAAAAAAAGTCTCTCAAGAACCCATAGAAAGTGCTTGTTCTCTTGTGCTTGCAAGGAAGGATTGTTTTCAGGGCTTAGGAACATTCAAGCATGAGTCACAGTAACCACAAGCAAGGGTCACTAGTTTGTAACTCTCTTGGTGATTGCTGTCTGCAGTTTTTTCCTACAGAAAGCAGCTCCATAAAAGCAGATGAAAACCTAATGTGTTTGCAATTTGCAGAGATTCCCAACTGAGAAAGCTTACTTCATTGCTAAAGAAGTAGCGACCACAGAACGAACATACCTGAAGGACCTTGAAGTCATCACATCGGTATGTTTACTTGAGCATTACTCATGAAACACGTGAGCCTCTAGTCAGCAGTAGTATTTCATCTGCTCCATTTAACATCTTAGTTGTTCCATGCTACTTTGATATTTTGCACTGTAGGTATTCTCTGCAGTGCACAGGAGTACTGCTCTAGGGAGGAAATAACACAAAAAGCAGAAAGTAGAGATTTGCGCTGTGGTTAGTAACATGCACTACAAAACTATATCAGGTTGAGGAACTTGGGACACAGTTCAGTTATTTTTTCTTGCTCTCATACTTTGTGGTTGTAATTACTAAAAATGCCTGTGGGTTTTCAATGACTTCTCTTAAAACTGAAGTAGCTCCCTAGGGGGCCATATAAATGTGTTCTCCTGGATTAAATACCCTCCATTTAACATGAAATACGGTAGAGTACCTATTTGAATGATTCTGATTTTTCAGTACATGAAACTGTCTGTTAAACGAGTCATTAGTCTGTAGCACCTGATCAGAGTGTGATTGTTAAAATCACCGAGGCAACTATGTACCGCCTTTGCACACACACCAACAGTCTTGTTTAAGTTCCAAGAGTGCGTAAGAAGATTTGGCCTTAAATAACAATTGTCTGCAAAAGCGCGCTGGATCCAAAACCTCTCATGGTATTGCAGCAGGGCTGCCAGCTCCAGACCTCCCAGCTCTTTAGTCGCCCAGTGTGTGAAATGCTGAGGCGCATCGCCACCTCCTGCGTTGGGCGTTGTGGTAAGGGGGACATGATGCAGGGAAGAGTCTATTGGTACGAGCTGGGAACCAGGGAGAGACACCTTCTCCCCAGCTTCTCGTCTGTTCCAGGAGCCCACATGGCAGATGCAGTTGATCTGATGCCAGCTTAGACATAGCCAATGTAGGCTGGAGCAGCATGGTTGCTACAGGCAGCAAGATAGCTGTGGGTCTGCTGCCTGCTTACCCTGGCTTTCTGGGAAGCCAGGCCAACGAGGGAAGAGGCCAGGTTCTGTGGGACAGCAGTCATTGCTGCAGTCTCAACAGCAGATATGCGGTTTTCATCTTCTCTTTCACCCAGTGGCTACAGAAACAGAAAGTTTTAGCTCTTCAGAGCTAAACCCCATTTCCCACCCTGGCCTTTATTCTTGTGGTAGGCAAATTTGAATTTGCTGTGTCACCAAGAGGCATACAACTGGCTCTAAGCTAATCATCAGGCCCATCAGTTGTGCCCTGCAGATGTCTGGCCCAGGAGGCCACCGAGAGTGAACAAGTAGCCAGCATCACTGGAAAAGGTAGAAGGAACGAGCGTCATGCATGAATTTTGAGACTTGGTAGGTGTGCAGTTCTTCAACCTTAGCTCTGCTCAGTGCAGAGATAAAGCTGGAGAAAAGGAGACTTGGGAAGGGTCTCTCTTTATCCCAGGTCCGGGTCAGCTCCAGCCGATGCAGTGTCAATCAAGACTATGGTCCCAATAGTCTTCTAGGCACTGCTGGAAGTCAACCATAGATAGCTGGAAGCCCTCAGGGCAGCGAGGAGGGAGTAGTGTTATCATGTTGAAATAACAGTCTGTGCCAGCTTGGCAAGCCCCCTAGTCCTATGGCTTTACATCACACATAGGTCTATTAAGCTGAAATAAAGAGAATATGGAGCAAAACTGAGCAGGAGCTTGTTGCAGTCTTAACAGTGTTTGGCACCGACCCTCCTATTTTTCTGCTAGTGGCGTCATGTCTTGGAAGGGCAAAGTACCATCCTTCTACTTGTTCACTTTGCAAAGTGCATGATGTTCTCTATCTGCACACAGCAACATGGGCTTGAGTGCTTACTGTACCAACTCCTGTCAAAGGGATTTCAGACAGAACTCAGCAAAAGAAAATGCGAAGCATATTTTTTGGTTTTTACTGGAACGTTTGCAAGTGTTGCAAGTATTGCAATACTCTTTCTGTTGCACCTACAGCATTTGCAAAGTCAGTTTGTATTGACCAACCAGTTTGGGCTTGAAAATAATTTTCACGATTTGATCGGTGATGGCAAAGGGGAAGGGAGTTTCTTTTTTAACTATGCAGGGCCTGACCGTTGATAAGACCACCAGTTCAGCGTGTAGGAGTGTCAGGGGTGGCCTGGGTTGTAGTCCTAATGCCAGCTAAATAAGGTCCTTACTGGGTTAGGTGTATAAAGACAGCAAATGATCATACCTGCTGCATTCCACCCCCCGATAATTTTGCTTCTTTTTTCTTTGTAGTGGTTTCAGAGTGCAGTGAGTAAAGAGGATTGCATGCCCGAAACACTGAAAAATCTCATTTTCTCCAACTTCGAACCTTTGCACAAATTTCACACTGGTTTTCTCAAGGAAATTGAGCAGAGACTTGCTCTGTGGTAAGATCTTTGTTTGTTATTTAGCTGCATTATTTCATGCAGTTTAGCATTTTTGTATTCCCTTTTTCCTAACTCTTTGTGATCTACTGTAGCGATTCATTTGTGAAAGTCATAGATGTTGGTTATTAACAGACTAGGTATATTGAATCATGCTTTGTTCGTGTTTACTCGAGAAACTTGTTGTTCAGATATCTCAGTCAGGTACAGACATATGCAAATGAGATTATAATTCTGGATGAAGCTTTGTCTTGCCAAATGTCAGTGTTTCTGTATGGCAGCTCTTCTGAAAAACATGTTGCAAGCAAGGCTTATCAGTAATAAAGAGGGAGTGGTGAAGGACCAGGTCCTGTTTCTGTCAAATAGGTGTAGGCTGGGGGGGATTTCAGAGACCGGCTTCCCATTCTGCAACACCGCAGCTTTGACACTCTCAGGGTCCTACAGTGTGCTCTACAAATTGACAGACTGTTGGAAGAGGACACTGGGCTTAAAAATTATCTATCCTTAGCATAATAGTGACAGTAAAACATGGCATTTTTATGAAATAGTTACGAAGTAAGTAATTCTTCCCTGGCAGGACTCTTAACTCAGTTAATTTGATGACTGATCTCTGAGCAGAGGCAGCACACAGAAGCCCTCTCTGATTAGACCTCTCTGGGCTAGATTGTCTTGCTCTGTGTAGGCATTTTTTGGTAGTTTTATCTTCAGTGCTGGGAACCCAGCTTTTCCTTGTAGGTTAGAAAAGTGGCAATGGAGAATCATGTGAAAGCAGAGCAGGCAGACCTGATGAGTGTTAATCAGTTTAATGCCTCTTTAACTAATTAATCAAAACAAAAGCAAAACACAGGCTTAGAGTGTGTGAGTTTAGCTCTTGCGATGTGATGAGCGAGGTCATTGAATGAGAGCACAACACATTGGAGACGAGTGCTATCCAAACCCCCCCTGCACAGTTCCAGAATTAGCAGGTATTTTCTGGGGAGAGGGGAATGTGATACTGCCTCTTAGAGCTGAAATCGTCACCCAGGACTCTGTGGCTGATGGCTGACACAAGGTTTCTCCTAAGGCAGTGTGCTGTACAGCAGCTCTGCCTGAATTTCCCTTTTTTCATTGGGCTGCTACTGTTTTAATCCAGTCGGGATTCATACTGGTGTTAATTGCTTTCCAGTAAGGAACACTTATTGCAGTTACTCCAAGAAGGCTCTTTCAAATGTTATAAAATAGTGATTGTTTATCCAACCATGGTGTAGTTGGGGTTAATCCCCAACCAGTTGGGGTTAAAGGTGAATGGTGAGAAAAGGAAAATTTATACAGTTAGTAAAGGGCCAAGTTCTGCTCTCTATCAGACCAGTCTAATCTGGTGAGTCTGCTGGATGCTGATTCCTGGGGCACATGTTGAAACAGAGATTCCCCCTGTATCCTTCTGGTTGCTGGTGGCATTACAGGTGGATGCCAACCCCCTGTTCAGGTGTGATGTTTTTCAAAACTTGGATGATGCTGCAGTAACAGCCTGCTGTGGAAAGGTGGCATTGTAGTAAGCAGGGGGAGGTATGTTAAAAGAAAAAAAGAATGTTTCAGCTTTTAGACTTTCCATGATTTTATTTTGTTTCTCCAAGTTAGCTTTTTTAGAGCTGAGTAAGCCTTTTGTTTTCCAGCTTCTCCTTGTGTTCCAAGGCTATGGTTTCACAGAGCAGTAAACCTCAGTTTAAGGCTTCTAATATTGTATTTAAACTGCAGCTACTCTATGATATAAAGTGCTGATCTGCTACGAAGTTACTTTGCAATCCAAATTTGTTCAAAAATACTCTGCTGAGGTAACTGTGTCCCAGCTGGGCACCTCGTTTTGACTTTGTCAGCTCAGCTATTGCGTGTCCTTCCAGTTAGCGTAAAGCCACTGGGAATTTTCTGCCGGCTGCTCTGATTCATTTGGCAGAAATACAGTCACGTTCCTGCCCCTGGTCTGCATCCAGTTTGCAACCAACAGCATGGGTTTACCTAATGTAATACCACTGTTGTTGATGGTGTTTGTTTTTCAAGTTCTGGAAGATTTGAATATGTGCCTTAGGAAGGGAGGTGGATTTGCTGGCAGGTGTTATTTTGGAGGTGTTGGTGGTTTTATATAATGCCACAGATGCCGAGATAACCTGCAAGCAATAAACTCTATCCTATAGAGCTTACTGTTTAATTAAACGGTTGGTGACAAAAACAAACAGCCTGTCAACATGTAGAAGAAGCAGCTGGTGGCAGCGTGGTAGAGAATTTCTTCAGCAGTGTGGTCAAGGTCACGTAGCTCAGTGTCCGTACTGCCGTGATGGTACCTGTGTCTTTGGCCGTGTTCACCACCGCAGAGCAGAGTGCTGCCCAGCCTCTACATCAGCTGTGTGGCACCTCGCCGGCCTGGCTGCGCCAGTGGCACTGCTGCAGGCAGGCACAGGCAGGCTTCAGGCCAACTCATTTAAATCTGACTCTTCTATGTCCGCTCTTTTAAATTTCCAGGCAGGTGGAGGGGGGAGGAAGGTAGGACGCTTGTCCTGAGACATGAGCATGCTCTGCATTCGTCAGAGGGTGGCGTGTCCTACAAAAAAAGGGCCTTTGAATGAAAGAGTTGTGGACTTCATCGAGCTACGGGAAGCCCCTAGCTACCCAAGTGTTTTGTGGGAGCTTGTCTGAGAGGAAGAGCCTCCCGCGACCAGTCCTCTGCATTCCCCTAGTGAGCAGGCTGCTGGGTTTTATCAGCTCCAAGTGCAGTTCAGCCTGCTCGCTCTGCCTGGACATCAGTGTGTTTGTCTAAGGTTTGTTTCAAACTTCCGCGCTGCATGTTGGAAGCTCTTACGGGAGGCCATTCCCTGGTCTCTTAGGACTTGGATCACATTGAAGCTGATGCTCTGCAAAAGAGCTGTGAGGAAAGCAAGGCCAGGAGAGGATCGCACATAACGATTGTTAGATGGCTCTGTGCTTTTAATTTGTTAAAACGTCTATTGACTTTTAGTATTTGGCTCAAAGAAGCTCAGGTTGTGCACATTATTAAAAGCATTTCTGGCTTGCTCAAAGGCTTCTGAGCTGTTTGAATCTGCTATCAGCAGCAGTCTGTTTGCTACTGAACACCTTAAGGGCTGGTATCCTTTTGACCCAGTTATAGATTCTGGCAGGTCTGATTTGTTTCTTTATACAATTCACCCATTTTTCTCTTTAGTACTGCATTTCCTAAGAGCAGCACATCTCAGTGTCTAGTGCATAGTGAGAAAGTTTTTAACGAGATGTGAATTGATGCTGCCACCAATAGCCAACTGCAGAATGTTATAAGTTGCTGCATTTTTCACAGCCAGAGTTTGTTTCTGGCCATGAAACTGAGCAGATTCACGGAGTTTTTATTGCGCACCATCCTAAGATCAGTCCTACCATGCTCTGCTCGATGTTTCTGCCCTGCCTGTGCTGTTGCTGGGTCAGTGAAGCAGCCCGTGAATCCCATCGGTTGCCCCGACTGTGCCGAGCCCGCTGTTCACAAGCCTGACCGTGTTCCTGGGACCAAGTGATGACCTTTGGTGGCTGCAGGCAGGCAGCGGGCAGGCGCGGGGCTCTGCCCTCTCGCACAGCAAGGGAGGAGGAGGGAAAAAGAGCATGGAGCTGCCTGAGGTGGGAGAGGGAGCAGTGCATGTCAGGCTGTCCTGTTAGCAAGGGCCAGGAGAGCTGCGTCCTGCACCCGGGCACCCAGGTCCTGGTCCTGGCTACCAGGACTCATCGAGGTTGCTCCTCAGCAAGGCTTTAAGTGCAAGGCCAGGAGCTCCCAACCCTTTCTGCTGGGAGGAAATATGGGAGGAATATCTCAGCGACTTAAAGCTGGCTCCTGTTTCCCAGGGCCTGAGAGATTTTATGGCAAGGAGGAAGAGGTGTGGGCAGTGCAGGCAGAGCACAACATGCTCCATTAACATCTGACCAGTTGAATCTGAGAAGTCAGTTAGGTTTTTCTCCTTCATTTATCTAAGCTGTTTAATAGGCTATTAATTTGGGCCACAAGCACCATTTTCCAGCCAAAAAAATTGAGCTCATCTTCCCACACCCCTTTAAATGTTTGTATTACAAGTTTCCAGATGTTTCTGTAAATTCTGGTGGAAGGTGGCAAATGGAGAACCATCAGTTTCCCCCCTTGGTCTACCATTAAGCACTGCAGAGAGCAATGCTAGGGCAAGCCAGGATAGCCATTTCTACCCTAGGACGCTCTATCAGGTAGTGTGAATCCGCGTTTTGGGCCTTACCCATGTGCTAGAAAGGAAAAGCATTACGTACTTTCCAGAAATGCAGGCAGACTTACTTTCTCCCAGGGAAGCCAGTAATTTGGCTCCCAGTTCACAGGCGCTTCTGAGGAAAGCTGCTGCTCAGTACTACCAGATGTGCCTGAGAAATGTGCGACTGGTAATTTGCAAGAAACAGCTCTTAGATCTTAGCATATGAAAGGAGAAGGCTCAATCAGGATTCATGGAAGCCAATTTGAAAACCTGTAATAAAAAGCACTCAGGGAGGTGTAGGAAGATGAGCTAAACGTTGATTTATTAACCATTTTTTGTTTAGGAAGTAGTACTTGTGGTCAGGAAGAACAGCCTGATAAACAGTTTATATAAACAAGACAGCAGTCCTTATCTGCCTTCTCAAATGCACAAGTGCTGACTATTCAGCCGGTTCTGCGTGAAGAGGGATGAACAGGACAGTTTCGAAAGTGTCTTTGTCCTATGTACAGAAATGAAGTATGTATTTGTGGTATAAACCTCAGAGTCCTGCAGTGTGGATTCCCGAGACCAAGACATTAAGAGAGGCTTGCTGCCAGCGCATTACACGCGCTTTCGAGAGGACAGTTTGCATTGCTGAAGTCACTTTTGGGTACTTCTGGGGATTAAAGCCATGCTACACCCAAATGAATTTGAAATGGTGGGAGAGAAATAGCTTGTCCAGGATCCATTAGTCACACCCATAGCCTTGTTACATTAATCTCTGCGGCTCTGCCAGGCGGGATG